GTTAGTTTTTGTCATTCTAGGAAAGTTCTAAACTAGAATGTTAATGATTGTTATTACCATTATGAAATAAAACGTAAAGGATAGTTCTAAAATAAAATGTACAGGATAGTTCTTAAACTTCTAGTTAAATTGCGCATATAATTATTTAAGTTTGTTTCACAATACTTCTTGTATTCAGATCGTATTTTACATGTTCTAGTGAACAGTTTATTTTACGTCAGACCTTACTGAGTTTATTTAACACAAGATCTGAGTTTTAAAATTTTGTTCAAAATAGCGAAAATAATATCAGAAACTAATCTCGTACCCCTAGTTTATGATGTTCGATAAGTGTCTTATATATTTTATGTTCGATAAGTGTCTAACTTATATTATATGATTTTTGATTTGTTCATCTGATACATTGTTTATAATTGTTATTATAATTATATTTGTCAAGTATTTATAGAAATAATTGCCTTACCAACTACGTAGATGTTGGTATTAGAATATGAGTAATAATTTCACTTACCCAAACAATACACGTTTGTTTAGAAACACATACATCTTAAAGTATTCCATTTTTACAAGATTAATAACCTTACAAGAAATTATTGTGTTATACTGTAATGCAAGCTATGCTAACATTTTAATATGACTTTGCATGGAAAACTAAAAACTAACATTTACAAATTAACCAGCTTTACTTCTGCCGAGTATCTTTTTTAAAGATATTTCTTGTAAACAATTATCCACAGGCGATGTAACATTGTATATAGTTTATAAAACTGAAGGAAATTTACAAGGAAGTTTTTTCATCCCATTATGTTCGAGTACGGGCCTTTTCATGTTTTAATGCACATTACAACAATCTCTGAACACTACTTGTACAATTAACAAATGTTTGAATATTTAGAACCCTCTAAAAAATTTATGACATTGTCCATCATTCAAAAGGCTTGTTGCATGATAGTATAGAAGAACATAATGAGCAATATCAAATGTTATGTGATAAGGAACTTTATAATATTTTGCTTTACATAAATGTTTCATTAACTCACACAATTTATATTTTTGCTTACACACCTCCTCTATTGTTTGTGACAGGTCTATATTTTTCGGATAGACCTGTTTAAACAAAAGAAAATCCGTTATAAGGTCTATCTTTTGCACGTGCACAGGTCTGTTCTAGTCAGACAGACCCGGTCATGTAAAACACGTGAAAAATAGACCTGCCTATGAGCAGACAAAGAAAACGTGAAACGAAATCAAAAAAATAAAAAGTGAAATAAAATGTAAATGATTAACATGATGTTCCTGTCTTACAAAATCGGGATACATTTTTTAAACAATATAATGTTTATTGAATGCACTAAGCAATTATTCCAGCATCCCTATATTTAATCTTTGAATAAAAATAATGGATAGCATGTCAAAGTTAGGACACATTTAACATTTAATTAATCGCGTCATTTTTCGAAGTAAAGAGATATCTAAGTGGTTCTTCTGTCATTTAGTTCACAATATAACAAAAATGGACGCTTCTCTATGAAACTATAGTAGTAATCACAGCATACTTATTACGATTTTAAATCACCTAATCCAAACATCTTAACATTTCTAGAAAATTCGCAATACATAAAAATTGTACCAAACATTCATACCGAAAAAAAATATATAAAAAATATGTCCGTTTCACAACTTTTCACCATTTCATATACGCTTCGCATTAGAAACCGCAGCTACCCACAGTTAATAGCAAAGTCCCTGGTAGCATTCCCACCCGCGGGATCAATCAGATTGTTAAATCCCCGTTAACCCACTCCCCCTCTTTTTGAGTTAGGCTTTATCCTGTTTTTTATTAAACCGGAGAAAATCGAAACTGATTTCCCCTGAAAACCTTCGAAGCCAGGGCTTGTTTCAAAGAGTGATACACAACAACGTTTAATAATTTTATATTGATAGAATCCAAATCTTGCTTATAGTGACATGCATATACAAGTATACTTAACGTGGAGGCACATCTTCTATTAGTATTTCAAATATCGATGATAGAAATGTATTATTCGGATATCATTAAAAAAATTCTTGAAAAAAAAAAAATGATTTAGTATAAAAAATTTATGATGAACGATCATATTTTATTCTTGAACACTTCATAATCTGCTACATAAAATATAATTTCGGTTCATGTATCATACACTTGCCAACAATATACATATGTAAGTCATTCGTGGTCTGCTAGGTATCCGGACATTGCCCTTCGGACATTTGCCCCCTCGGAAGTTTGCCGCAGTCATATGCCCCCCTCATATCTTTGGAAGGGGCGGACAGTTCCCCCTCCCTGTTTTAAAAATAGTAAAGTATTAAATTGTTTTCTACCAAAATTCATCGCCTATTGTCGATATTTCAGTGTGCTTAAAGCTGCACGCCAAAATATTTCAAGAAAATCAATGTTGAGAAATTTTAAGGAAGGTAAAAACATTCAAGGCCCAAGTTATATTTTTCATGTTATTTGTGGTTTAAGACTGATTTTGCAGTATTTTACTACAATATTTCTATAATGTTTACATTGACATACAAAAAAATATATACACGAGATTACCTCTGGCAAGTGACAAGTCGCAACAGCAAAACTAGAAATGTGTCCATAGGACACGGGTGCCCCCACCGCGCCACTGTTCTGTCAATCTTATGACTCTAGGTCAAATATTTTTTGAAAACTAAAAATCTTTTACTAAGTAAAGGGCAACAACTTTACAAATACTGAATAATTCCACAAGCAAACCACATGGTGCATAAGTACACATTCTGACCATTATTCTTGTAAACTTTCAGGCCTACAAGTGAAATACTTTTTGAGCTATGCATGAACAAGTTGAAAATTGCAAATATATACTACTGTAAGTCAAGGGCAATAACTCTTACAAAACTGAAAAAAATCCACATGCAAAGTCCCAGGTGCATAGCTTCATAGTGATGTGAATCATTATTCCAGTAATTTAGCGATGTTGATCATTATTCCTGTAAAGTTGGTTGATTCTAACTCAAGCACTCAAGGCAAATAACAACATAATGAAACAGTTTTTACTAAGTCAAGGGAAATAACTCTACAAATACTGGATAAATCCACAAGCGAAACCCCAGGTGCAAAGCTAAATATGCTGAGAAACCTTCCCGTAAGGTTTAATGACTCTATGTCAAATCCTTTTTGAGTTACATGCGACACAAGTTGAAAATTGCAAAAAAATTCTAAGTCAAGGGCAATAACTCTAAAAATACTAAATAAATCCAGACGAAAATACACAGGTGCACAACGACACATGCTGATCAATATTCCTGTAAAGTTTCATGGCTCTAGGTCAAATACTTTTTGAGTTACATGCGACACAAGTTAAAAATTGCAAAATGTTACTAAGTCAAGGGCAATAACTCTAAAAATACTAAAAATAACCTGACGAAAATACACAGGTGCACAACTACACATGCTGATCAACATTCCTGTAAAGTTTCATGACTCTAGGTCAAATACTTTTTGAGTTACATGCGACACAAGTTAAAAATTGCAAAATGTTACTAAGTCAAGGGCAATAACTCTAAAAATAATAAAAATATCCAGACAAAAATACCCAGGTGCACAACTACACATGCTGATCAACATTCCTGTAAAGTTTCATGACTCTAGGTCAAATACTTTTTGAGTTACATGCGACACAAGTTAAAAATTGCAAAATGTTACTAAGTCAAGGGCAATAACTCTAAAAATAATAAAAATATCCAGACGAAAATACCCAGGTGCACAACTACACATGCTGATCAACATTCCTGTAAAGTTTCATGATTCTAGGTCAAATAGTTTTTGAGTTACATACGACACAAAAGTGAACGGAAGGACGGACGGACGGACGGACGGAAGGACGGACGGACAAGGGTAAATCTAAATGCCCGCCACTAAAGTGGGGGCACAAAAAGTGGGAGCAAACGTCCGAAGGGGCACCTGTCCGGATATAAATGTCCTAGAATTTGCAATGTCTGATACGAAATACTATCAACATAATTATTCATTCTTTAACATACCTTCCATTAAAGATCTATTCACTTTATTATTGACAATTTGCTGATTTAGCTTTTTGATTATTATTTTAAAGGGAAAAGCAAAATATATATTGTATTTAAGCAGAACGTTGATAAAAGCTTACCTGTATATGCGTTGTGTTAAAAAATAATATTTGTGCATTGCATCAGCCATAGCGCAAGCCAATACAGTTTTATGGTGTGTAAGTTGGATATCGGCCTCGTACATCGATCTTTCTGTTTAGGAAAGACCTGGTCACGGATTTCATGAAACACCTCGAGCGCTACGCGCTCTCGGTGTCACATGAAATTCGTGACCAGGTCTTTCCTAAACAGAAAGACCTCGTACTCGGTCGATATCCTATACATACTATATAGTTATCAACTCTATTACAAGTAGATAGTAACTGATAGCGAACAGCATGGATCCTGATCAGACTGCGCGGAAGCGCAGGCTGGTCTGGATCCATACTGGTCGCAAACTCATTATGTTGGTTTTGTCGTGACGCGGCTCAAATTGTGAAGTCCCTGTTAAGATCAGTGTTGATAATGAATTTCATCCAGAAAACAATAACAACACTGAAGTGATTTATAGGGCAACATTATCATTTGCCCCATTTGAGGTCGTTTGAAGAAATTATAAATTTGAGATCGAATATATGAAATTCTCGTCAAGTAATCACAAAATGTATTATAATATCATAGTATCTGTTTAACTAACTGGTTAAAAAAAACATGTTTGCTTTTTTGTAGGCATGATACAGTAATTTATTAAAATATTTTTCTTCAAATAAAAACAACACTCACGAGATGCAATAGAATACTCGTCACACCTTGACGTTGATTAATTTCTCTTTAATGGAGCTAGCGTACATTAACGATCAAAGGTTACAGCTTTAAACGCAATATAAATAAACAGTCAAATCATTCATTTAAATAGTGTTGAAACAATGCAATGTTGTGTCTTAGTATTGACTTATCACCTGTAATTAGACTGTTTGGGGACGCATCCATCACACCTTAGTTATTTTTGGTTTCGTTAACTTTTTTTCTTAAGCTTTTTAGTTTTGCTATAGGTGAGTCGTGGACAGCATTTGAAAAAAAGGTATGTTCGTTTGTGAATTTCCTTCTTGATATTTTTATGTTCTTCTTATTAATTATTTCAAGAATAATATTAGATATCATGTAATGAATAAGTTTGAGTATAGAGCAAATTACATATGCAAGTTCTTACCGGGAAATAAAAAAGAGAAATAGATCACCAATATATTAAGAAAAAATCTTATATTAGAACAAGAAAAAGGCAAAAGTTGTAACTATTTACACGATGGAAAATTTACGATTTAAATATTATACTCGTACAAGGAAAATTGTCACTTTAAAAGAATTAAGTTAATGCCACTGGAGGAAATGCCGAAGCTTAACATGCTTGTCTTTGGGAGAAGAACATGTGTTTCAAACTATTTTATTATCTAACTATTATTCATCAAGCTTCCAACATAAGACTTTTTTACGTGAACTTCCAATGTAAATATAGTTGATAAATATATAAGATGCAGCCTTTATGTAAATATGAGTTAACGTTTCATTTTTATATTGTTGTAGGGAAAATGATTCATCCACTTCCGGTCATTGTTGCTTTTTGCGTTCTAGCATTATGCAATGGCCAAGGTGAATATTTCATGTCCGGAGGAAGCGGGGGTTATAGTGGCGGAAGAGGCGGCTCATACATGGGAATGGACATGGGATCGTCTTACATGGGAGGAGATATGGGAAGGTCTTACATGGGAGGAGATATGGGTTCGTCTTATATGCGAGGAGGTATCGGATCGTCTTATATGGGTGGAGATAGCGGACCGTCGTTTATGGGAAGAGACACGGGACCATCGTTTATGGGACGAGACTCGCCATATATGGGTGGTTCTAGAGATCCGTATATAGGTAGTGGTTTTGGCGGAGATTCTTATACAAGAGGCCGTAGAGGAGACAGTGGTCGGTTTGATAGATATAGAGGAGATGCAGGGTCCCGATATCGCGATGGTATGGACAGACGCAGTAGTAGATCTAGTGGTAGGAGAGACGAAATTCCATCCGAAGGACACATTGGAGCCCGCGGTGGTCAGAATGGTTTTCCAGTTCAGGGAGGTTATTGTGCGGACTCTGGAACTGGTCCATGCAGTGATGGGGGACAAAGCGCTGGAGTTGGCAATGGATATGGAACAGGGACGAAAGCGGCTATGAATCGAAGGATGATGACGGGAGAAAATGAAAGTATCAGATTCTATGAAATGACTTCTGGTGGACCATCAACTGTTGGTGGAGGAATGGGTGGTCCACCTGGAATGGGTGGTCCTCCTGGGATGGGTGGTCCTCCTGGAATGATGGGAATGGGAGGTCCAATGGGAGGAGGTTATGGTCCACCAGGGGGCGGTTTTATGGGAGGGCCAAGCATGCCCTATTTCTAATATATTGTTATATTATTTGTTAATTAAATATTTAAGGACAAATTTTCGAGAAAGCTGCAATCACACTATACAAAACACTTGAAGTATTCGAATAATTATCAGAAAATATTTATTTGTGAAGCATCATTTCTATATTTCAACAAACAAACGTTGTGTCTAACTTAAACTAACTGAGACTGAGAATTAGCATATTCATTTTCTCGGTTTACATCGTTTCTTCGCAGATTTATCCCTAGCAAAAGAGGCAGTGTGACAATGTTTCACATAGATTTCTTGAATATTGAATATGGAAGTGGTGTGCTAGATCCATACCGTATTGCAGTCTCGGTTGTTTAGATGGGAAAACTTTAACCAAAAAAAGAATGTTATAAAAAGAATGTCATGAAAATGTCTATCAACATTGTAAATGCATGCGATGTGTTTGTGATATTCGATTACTTCCATATCAAAATATTCAATTCTGTGTTCTGCTAATGATACTTTGGGAAAATGAACATTGAATAAAGGTGTTTGTGTAGTTTATTTGTTTACCGTACTAGTTGTCTTCATTTATTTTCACTGTCTTGCAAGTTTATCGGAAACTAAAGCCATTAAAGTTTATGTATCCAAACAAAAATTAACTCATTACTAGCCAGATACCTTATATATTTAAAATACCGCATTGAAAAGTAGTATTGGAATGTTCTTTCAACCCTATGTTCCCGCTAGATTTCTACTACTATCACACACCTAACACCTCTATCCCCGTTAAATATAATTGTGATGACAAGTACCTAACATGTTGATCGTCATATCTCCTGACAAGTGTTTATCAACATATTTTCCAAGTACTTTAAGGTGGTTCACTCTGTTGTTATCTGTCTAAAACCTAAGATCATTTAAGTCAGCATACGCCTTTGCAGTTTGTTCCGATTCGCCCTAGATTCACCAAGTCAATATCTAGCGAACTTTCGACAGACTGTATCGGGGTACTTTTATTTGTAAATTTTCTTTCCTCAGTCTTTTTACATCATGTGGATAGAACTTTAACCTTTTGATATCAATTGTTAAAAAGCGTGGTCTTGATATCAATGTTTTCTAAATTATTACTGTTAATATTATGTTTGAAATTCTGCCGATCTTGTCAGTTAATAAAAAGTGTTTGCTTGTGTGCGAATGACCATACTTATGCCAACTTTGTAATATTCAACAATTCCTACAGGCTGTTCAGTCTTTACAATATGTCTGCAATAATCAAACTTAGAGAGAAAAAAAACATTCTACCGTTGCTGTATTGTGGTGAATAAATCATAACGTGACAGAGATTCAGCCTATCTTTACTTTATTTTTTTTCTCTCATGTGTTTTACCACCTTTTTAATGTTTCGGATTTGCTTAAACTTGTAATAATCCGAACATGATATAGAAGATTATAACTGTTTATGACTGTCTCTTCTAACTACTGAGACGAAAATGACATGTATATTCACGTTAATGATGACACGTCTCAATATTAAAATTTTATTCATAAAGTATATAAATTTGCTACGTAACATTAAAACCGCTAATGAAAACAATACAATACAAACACGCAAAAAATAACATACAGACAGAGACAAAAACCTTTTGATGTTTTAAAGTTTAAAATGATAATCAGCTTATACTCATCAATTTTCTGTCAGAAAAAAAACAGCAACATTTGATACACTGACAACGATCATTGGTTGGTTAATTGATGGCCATATTTTTCTACAACGTCAGGAACCCCATCCATCTTGCATTCGCTTTCCTGAACGTTATTCACGTCATTTTACATTGGTTTAACAATAAGAGCACTGGGAACATTCATTAAAACGGTAAGAAACGACTATTTTTAACATTCAGATGTATTCATATATTCATTTTCGAAAAGTAATTTACATTATTTATCTATACGATGCAGTGAAAACTAATAAATAATTATTCTACTTCAAAGAAGTATCATTTACTGTCTATGAATCTAAAAATATATATTTTACTAAGTTAGAAAAGAATACTGTATCTGTAGTAATTCAATTATCATTTTAGTTATGTAGAAAAGGACTTGAATGGCATGTAAATTTCAATTTATCTTTTGTTGAAGCTGTTAAATCAAACAACTAAGGTCAGACAAGTTATCTGCTCTTGATCCAAGTTATGTGCTTTCGATCCAGACGATCTGCTTTTGGTTGAAATTGACTGCTCTTGTTCTAAATATCTGCTCTTTATTTAAATTATCTACTCCAGTTTAAAGTTATTTGTTTTTGATTCAAGTTGCTCTTGATCCAATTCATCTCCTTGATTATCTGCTCTTGATTCAAGTTATCTTCTCTTGATCTAAGAAATCTGCTCCTTATCCAAGTTGACGTAAACTAGCTGATGCCCTTAAATTGGAAAATATGCAAAAGATGATAAAGAACTATATATTTAACATTAAATGATTAGTTGTTCCACTATGTGCCCGGTTTTAATTAAAAGCGTTTCTAGCATTAATCTGTGAAAACGCTGAAAAAGGAGTGAGTGAATGATCTGAAATTTTGCCCATTACTTGCTGGTCCAGATCTTCATCAAATGGTACGCAAAACTCGAATATAATAATGTTTTCTCATGCAAAAATTTCAATGGAGTCCCATTACCGATAATAACAATATAGTGCAAGATGTAGTTAAACATACCGTAGTACTTAAACTTTCATGACGTTTTCATCCATTTGCAATACATGGGTATTTCTGCACGAATATAGAAATGGATTAAGATGTTTCTTTAAAAAAAAAGGGTAGGATAAACGTTACGCCCAGAAATTACGTATTGAATCTATTGATAAACATATATCTCGTCAAAGCATTCATTTAGATTTTAAGTCCGTTAGTAACAGGGTGGAATTCGATTTTACAAAAATTGTGTATATAAAATATGACAGTCCTGGACTACGGTGCTTTCTAAAGGACTAGACTATCTTTTAAGATCTATTTTTTTTAAGATTTGGCATAAGCATGCTGGCATATTTCTGCCACCAGTTTAACACTTAATAATCACATTAATTATCTTGCTAACTAATTAGTTTTTAGTTAATCTGATTAACTAATTCGCTATTGTTGGATATATTTATTTACGAGTTGGTATCTAAATATTTTCTTTGTAGCATATTCTTTGGTAAATCGGCTTACAATTATTCGGTTAAGTAAATTTCCTGTTTATAAAAAACAATTTCAAACACTTAATTGTTGTAACGTTCCTGACCAATTTAATTTTATAAATGCTTACTAATGAGCACTAACCTATACAAAATGATCTCAACTGCCAACAATTAACTGAAAGTTAAAATAGTTTTCTGTTACTTTTCTAGCTAGTTGATATATAGATATTGCTGAATACTTCGGACATATTTCTTGCGTTTCCAATTATTATCTGATATGTCAATTAGCTACCTAGCACATGTTTCGGTTATCAGACAGATATCATAAATTAATCTGGTCATCTTCATATTTTAGTGAAGTCACTTTATGGGTATATGTGTATAACTAGTTATTTTTTTCTTCTTCTGTTTTCTGAATAAAGCGGAACACTAGGACATATTCCTAGCAGGGAAATGTAAATTTACAGTGAATCTAGTGAGATGTATGAAGCATTCTATCTGAAAATTTAGATAACCACTAGATATGCCTGAAAACAGTCGCAAAATATTTTTGTCGTTTTGAGCACCTTTTAGTGTTTTTTGAAAAATCGATATTTATTTTTATTCAAATATTTAACAGAAAATATTTAGTTAATCAGAAATATATTTGATATTAAAAATGTAAGTATATTGAGACAGCTCATAAATAATGAACGTGATGATACCATGTTTGACATTTGGCAGAAATACGCCACCATACATTACCAACACCCATATTCTATAGAACTGCATGATACTGATTAAGTAATATTTATTCAATTTATTAAATGCTGCAGTCCCTTGCCTCCGAACGCCGTTTTTTATAAGCAAACTGGCAGTATGAAGGACGCATAACGGATGCATATGGTTGACGGAACTCATTGACAAGCTTATTTGTGCACAGTGTGCTTCTGGCATTATCTCTTTAACAAACTATTTAAGTATTTCAAGTGATTCTTTAAATGCACTTATGTTATGTCCTAGTTTCTGTAGATGTAAAAGCTTGATTAAACTAAAAACCTTCAGGGAATATAATTTGTCGCACAACTTCAATCACATCTCGCAAGACTAAACAAACTAAAAATAGAAATCTGTTATTGCCCTTTTAGAATGCGCGTGCGCGAAATGCTACTTCCGTTACCATGGAAATATCGTACTGTTAAAAGGTCTATATGGTATAACTCTTAATTTTTCAATAGTCGTTTTTCTCATTCCGTCATATCAGTTCTTTTTTTAAAGAAAGGAAATCTTGGATCTTCACAGACCAATTCAATGAACATATTTACGGAAGTATTCTAGTGCCCATTTGACTTTATAATAATATTCCACCCTTGAATATATAAAAAAAAAGATTTAGACTTGCAGGTTATCGAATTTGAATGTGTTAACATAAGAAACAAGAGATCATTTATTTATCTTAAATAAAGAAATAAGTATACAGATTTCTTTGACAGAGATATATTACATGTTAAGCGAAAAGGTTAAACATAAGTCAGTACACGTTACGGTAATTTGAAAGAAAGAGAGAGAGAGGAAAAAATAAATCACTGCCTTTCATTATATAATTAATCATGTCTTTGTTTCGTATACGTGCATAGATTACAAATTGACAAATTTGCAACATTTCAACAACTTTAAAATGTAAAATATATGACTTGTATAATAGATTCAAAGCACATCTTTTCGTAATGCATGCGTGTCGGGAGGGAACATGTATGTCATTTTATCCGTTTACTAACCTTGTTTTATATCATTCATTAAAGAAAAGGTCTGTCCGAAATACGTTTTTTTCTTTTTGCAACAAAACACACTTGAAGATTTGAAGGAACGTTGTTATAAAAGAGTACACATTTTTTATTACTTTAATGGTTATTTAAAGAATACGGAAGCACAGAGGGTCACCTAATTGGTACTTTGATTTAATGGATGCTATAAATAATTAAAAATAATACGTTTCACTTTTACACATAATTATATCTGCGTTTTTTCTTGTTCTTCAAAGGAATGGCAATGTCGCACTTTGTCCTCGTGTGCATAATATCCATGATCATAGGATCGCCTGGAATATTTGGTCAACATGGGCGGCCAGGCGGCTCCTATATGCCAGGCGGAAGTGGGGGTGGAGGCGGCGGCGGAGGAGGCGGCGGCGGTGGTGGTGGTAGTAGTGGTTCTTTAGCGATGTTTGGCACTGGAGGTGGAGACTCTTACATGCAAGGTGGTGGGGGTCGAAGCGGAAGTTTTGGCGATTCTTATATAACGTCAGGTGTCGGAGGGGGTGGTGGAGGAGGGAGTGGCGGCTATATAACTGGAGGACAGGGAGGAGGAGGCGGTGGAGGAGGCGGTGGTGGTTATATGCCTGGAGGACACGCAGGGGGAGGCGGTGGTGGAGGTTATATGCCTGGAGGACACGTAGGGGGAGGTGGTGGTGGAGGTGGTTTTATATGCCTGGAGGACACGCAGGGGGAGGCGATGGTGGAGGTGGTAGTTATATGCCTGGAGGACACGCAGGGGGAGGCGGTGGTGGAATTGGTGGTGTTGGTTATGTGCCTGGAGGACACGGAGGAGGAGGCGGTGGCGGCGGAGGAGGGGGTGTTGGTGGATATATGCCTGGTGGGCAAGGAGGAGAAGGAGGCGGAGTAGGTGGTTATATGCCAGGAGGTCACGGAGGAGGAGGTGGAAGTGTGGGAGGCCAAGGAGGTAGAGGAAGAAGTGGAGGTGGAAGAAGGGGTGGTCAACTTCCCGGTAGAGATGGTGTTCCCCAGGAAGGATTTATAGGAGCACATGGTGGTCGGAGAGGTTTTCCTGTGCATGGTGGATACTGTGCCGGGGCTGATTGCGCTGACGGAGGATTGTCTGCTGGTGTTGGACAGGGTATCGGAATGGGAACTGAAAGGATGATGATAGAAAGGTTAAGGGCAGGTACTAACGAAAATATCAGAGATTATGAAATGATGGCCGGTGGTCCTGCTGCCGGAGGAGGCGGCGGGGGTATGCCCGGAATAGGTGGACATATGGGTGGAGGTTTAGGCGGCGGAGGTATGCCCGGAATAGGTGGACATATGGGTGGAGGTATGCCAGGTTTGGGCGGAGGTATGCCGGGTTTAGGCATCGGAGGTATGGGAGGGCATATGGGCGTAGGCGGAATTATGGGTAGAGGAATGCATGGTGCAGGCGGACACACGGGGAGAGGGATGCCCTTTTTGGGTGGACACATGCCTGGAGGAATACCTGGTTTGGGTGGTCACATGGGTGGAAGAATGCCTAGCATGGGTGGACATATGGGTGGTATGGGTGGAGGAATTGGAATGCCCGGAATTTATTGAGTTTCATAGATAACTTCATTTCCTTTACGGTTATGGTTTCAACTATATCAAATAATAAATAAATAGATAATTTTATCAGCATAAGTTATTGACCAGCATCTGTCGTCATGAAATCCATTTTTGGACGACAATATTTTTATCATAGCTTGACAAAACACGATGTATATACCTAAATGTTTAAGTTTGTCAGTTTTGTTGTGAACCAGTCTTGTTATTAATGTTCTTGTCTAAAAAAGGCAATAAGTTTAAATTATATGAACAGCTGTTTGAAAATTACGACAATCTTGTATGTGCATAGTTTATTGATATTTATTGTACAAATTTTACCTTTCAAATGCCTGAACCCGATTTGAAAATAAAAGTTATGTTTTTAGAAAATCGTATTTGTTCTATATACAAAATTGTCATTTGTAATAAATACTCTAACAATTGACATTTGCATGAATGTAGTTCAAACAGCACTTACACATTTTCATGTCTAGTACCGCCGACGACATGTACCTGTCCAGTTATTTTTCAGTCGCAACTTTTCGTCCCTTTCCGTCAGTCTTCGGATTAGGATGAACAACCGTTCTAATTGGTTAAATCTCTTTTTCAAAATGATGGAATCGACCATAGCAAGCTCTAGAGCGCTGTCAATCAATACATCTTATATAAAATGTATCATAGTTCGGGGACCCTTCTAGCTGTTGAAAATGTGTCAGAGCTAAATCGTATACATATACATGAACTGTACGTTAACTGGAATGCAGATATTAGTTACCCGCACTCCAAAGCACTCCCATTGATTGGCTCATTTTTGCTGGGGTTTACTTATTGTGATAGCAGAGAAAGGGAAAGCGATAGAAATTTCATATTCAGATGTTCGTTCATTGGTGACCTTTTTCAAGGGTTCAAGGAACGTGTTTTTATTTTTGACTATGATACAAAAGAGAAAGAACATCAAAACACTCGACCATCTGATTAATACTCGGGGGCTACGCCCCCTCGTACAAATTAGATAGCCTCGGGTTTTGATTCTCTTTCTATTACAAAAATATTTAAAAAAAAAACACACACACACAAGTAATTAATGACATTTTTATTCTTTCTTTCAAGTGAGACATTTCCTAGTAGGTGAACATTTCATGTCATCAATCAAACAAGAAGATCAATTAATTAAATAACAGTGTTAGCATATATGAATGTAATATAATTATATATAATAAGCATATAATTTATGAAATCCTCTATATAACAAATTATCGGAACGTAGGATGTACAAGATCGTAAATTTTGAACAATTTTTTGTTGTTGAAAAATTGCTTGTCATATTCCCTTCGCGTATTATGATAGAATAACCTATACATTGCTTAATTTGTATAGTGAACTCGCCCAAAGCTTCGAATTCGGCTCAGACAATTTAATATTTATGGGAAACAAAAATAAGCTACCAATAGAATAGAGCCTGGTGCAAGCTTGCTTGCATGGGTGTATAGTGATAACAAAGGTAAATTACCCTCTACTCAGGTAAAAATAATCTGGAAACAAAGTTATCCATCGGAAGCATTAATCACAACAAAATTACATTAACATTGCAGACTCGGTTTGATTGAGTCTGTATTGTAAATCCAAAATCTATATTGAGCTATACAAATGTTTTTTCTTTAAAAAGGTAAAACGCAACTATAATCATCAAGATAAAGGTCCATATGATGTCCCTAATTTGATTCATTCCGTTCTGCTATAGAGACTTTATCTTATTGTGCTCAACATGCATTTGGAACATCTCACCGATTTATGTATTCTTTACTTGAGTCTCATCCATACATAACAAATTATTCAATTACATAATTTAACAAAATAAAAGTTGTTTGTGTTCGGCCATTCTAATCATTATAAAAGTAACCTAACGGAAGGGAGGCAACTCTGCAAGAAATTCCAAAATAACTTACAGAGTTACCTCTTCTCATTCCATTTCATATGTATATTACAACTAAAATAAGAAACTATTGCTAATAGGCCAGTCATAATAGAAATTAAGGTAAAACTAATTCCTTCACAAATGTTTTCACGATCAAATAAAAGATAAACATTATCTACATTTTGAGAAAAAAGTCCTCAAAAAATCTCCTTGCAGAATCCTGAAAAATCGATCATAAAGATTTAGTAAAAATCGATATTTAAATGTGTCTCTTAAATTACACCATACTTTAATTTTATGCACGTTCGGTGACGTCACGTTTATTATATTTTCGTTGAAAGATCTGAAGTTACTTCAATTCCAGCATTCCTAGTGCAAAGGTGAGTATTTTTAGTCATTTTTATATTCTTCTGTATAAATTAGGGAAAAATATGTCAGCAGATAGATATAATTGACCACCAATCAATCGATTATGCAGATGACAAAATGTGTCATATAATTTCGCGATTTTAAACACAATTTTGAATGAAGTAATCATTAAAAGAGAGTTTATCTTTTACTCGCTGTTCTACATTGTTTCCTTTTGTACAATTATCTAAAATGACAAAGAATTAACCACACATCTTACTGAGTATTTAAAAAAAATGTGTATGCACAAGTTATGTAAATTTTTCTTTCTACGGAAGCGTGCTGTGACCAAAATCACGAAAATCTATGGATATTTTTAAAATGTTAAATTTGACTTATTTCAAAGAGTTGGCATGTTTTATGAATTGTGGAAATCATTATTAAAACAAATAATATGTTAACTTGATGTAAACAAACGTATTTCGTAATACATAATACATTTCTAAGCGAAATGATAATATTCCAGCATGTTATATGAAAAATAGACAGCGTATCCAATAGGGTGTAATCAAGCTAAAACTATTACCTATTAATGAGGAAGTTGTTACTGGCACTTTATACATTACTTTTCTTCTTAACAGAAGACATGGATTTAAAACCCAAATTATTATGCCAATTATTTGATTTTTTTTGTAGGCTCAATCATATCATATGCATCTGAGAGTATAGGGTTATAGCAAATCAAAAGATAATTGAGCGTATTCACTTGAAATATTGTAAAATAATTTTAAATGTTAGAGCCAATACAAGCAATGTTCGTATATACGGCGAACTTGGCCGTTACCCATTGTATATAAATCGATACGTAAGAATACTTAATTTTTGGTGCAAACTGATAAATACTGACAATATAATTTTACGGAAAACATATGAATTAAGTTTATCTGATTGTTATAAAGGTAAAAAACTGGGTATCAAATGTTAAAGAAATGCTAGATATATATGGTTTATTCCAATACTTTTTTGAAAATAATATCGTAGATAGTAAATTATTTCCAAAAATATTTAAACAACGAATTATTGATAATCATATACAAATATGGCATTCATCTGTAGAAAATAATTCTGTTTTACAACTGTGTGTAGCTTGACAATCTACCCTCATGATACTAGTGCCAGTTGTATGTATATTTTAAGTAATGTTTTCCATGTTGTTGTCAGAATTTATAGAACAGTTGATGTATAATTACATGTAGTTAGAAGATGGATAGACACGTGACTTCTACACAAGGGGTAATGGGATGTGAGAGAAAAATGACTTTTTACGTAGATATATCTTATTGAATGAATGAAAACAAAAACAATTGGGTGTCTTTCAGGTTTGTTAATACAACAGAAATTGATATATCAACACAAATTTACATCATTGTTTTACAGCATGATTATAATAAATGCACATACAAAAGAGTTTGCTCATACCAACATCTTCTCAGGCGTTTCCCTATTATATCATTTCAATACTATTTCTTTTGAATATCTTTTTGATAATGTTTTATGGACTTTATATATCTTATTTTCAGAGGAAGGGCTAAACATAGTATGGGATGGTTGATTGCAGAAGACAATATTTAGCGAGAGTCCAGCCTTTTATATTTTGGCGAACAATCCGTTGATTGGATGTGGCAAGAGTTTTCCATATTTCCAAGTTAGGAGAGGCTAAATGGGTTCTGTTTGAAAAGATCCAGCATTTTTGAAAAGTAATTAACAGGTAAATCAAAGAAAAACCTTCTATATATTAATACACAGTTGGTGTACCAGATTCAATTTTGTGTGCTACTGCATATATAACTTTACTAAAGGGAATTCACATTTGTAAAAGTTAAATGGTTTTCTTTTAAAAGTGTTTTATTTTTAGTGTCCAAAACTGCAGTTTTCTTACATTCTCGGAATTACTAACATCAGAGATTTGTTTGTTGGTTTTTATGTCACATCAACACTTAAATACGGGTCATATAATAACTTTCAAGCTTTACTGGTGAAGGAAAAAGTGTGACATAGGTAGTATTTTTAACGCGTAGAACCACCAATATTCTATAAGTTAGTTTGGGATAGCTATATATGTCAGATAATAGATTCCAAAACCCAGGCAGGACTCGAACCTACATCGTTAACACCGTAAGAAGCAAGTGTTTTGAAGTCAGTAAAACACTCGACAAAAACTTCCAATTTAGTTATCTGTTTGAAAGTATAGGTGCTGTTTTGTTCAGTATTTCCTACTTATATGGCACATTATGATGTTTCACAGTCAGCGCTTGTTTCAGCCGATAGGCAATTTACACGCTTTATATTTGTTATAACAATATAACATGAAACATATTTTCTAAAGAAGAAAGCTGAGGCACGTTTTTGCTGAGGCTAAACGTGCCTCATTAATGTATGAATTATTTGAAGATAATTCAATATAAAAATATAAATCTAAAAGCACAATCCTATCTTGCTTTTCATAGTACCTACATTTTCAGTTTGACATACAATTGTTTTATTTTAAAAGCAGAATGCAAAGTTCGCATTTTTATTTATCATGTTATGTTGTAACAATTTTACAGATGCGAAAAAATGTGTCTCTGTGAAAAGGGCAGGCTAAAAGTTTCAACAGCACCGGCCGAAATAGTGGAGATGTAATTTCAGCATTGAACAAGGGCTGGGCAATATGTATATATACATGTGTAGCGTTGTCAGACTATATGGATAGTCGGGCCTCGGTGACTAAAATGATGAAATAACATTTTATTTTACAAAACTTCCATGGTAAAGTAAGTGCAATTAAGCATTGGTAAGATATTTACTTGAAGGATTGATTTTTAGAACAGAAATACAAATACAATGCATATAAATAATAATTATTCGTGTAAAATGTATTGCAATTTTGAATTATAATATTAATTTAGATAGATTCATACAACTTTTTTCTTGGTAGAGCTAACTTGTAAGAATATTAAATGGAATCTGACTTAAAGTAAAAAAAATAATTTTATCATTAGTGGGTGGGGTAATGTTTTATACCAGTCTAAATGATGATGTATAGATTATGCAGTGTTGCGACTTTTTGAATGTAATCAACATTGGTTGAAGTGTTTTAGATTAAATAAAGCATGTTTGTGTATTAAAGTGTTACTTTGTTAATGATCATATTTGCGTAGAATATCTGGGTTATTTAATTTCACAGATTTTTCTAATTGAAAACACATGATTTCAAAACATGACATTTTTAGCATTTTATACTTCGAATTTTTTTGAGGACTTTTTTCCTGTAGCAACACATATATAGTAGATAACAAATATGCAAATATCTTTTCTGAAGGAATTTGTTTGAGGTTGGGTCTTATTTTGGGCTAAAATGCCTAGCCTACTAATTAATCTTGTTCTAAAAGACTAAAATAATTTCTGGTACAATTGCTTTATAGTGAATACCCTAGTAATGTAAATAAAAATTAGACGGGATAGCAACAGATTCTTAACCTATAAAATCATTCAATAAATTAAAATAAAATAATGTTCAAATTATAAAACGTCTTTGCCAAGTAAATAACCTGTAAGTATACCTTATCCGAAGTTTGGCGAAAACAACCGAAACGTTGCGATCAGTTTTGTTGTTTGATTGGGTTTTACACAGCATAAGTCAAGCTTTACTGGTGGAGGAAGACCTCAGATGCCCTTCCCTCCATTATTTCAGGCACGAACGGGCACCTGAGTAAAACCACCGACGTTCCGTATGCTAACTGGATGGCTTCCTCAAATGAAAGAATCAAAAGTCCTTGTCGGGATATGAACCAACAGCGGTGAACGGCAGGTTGTTTGAAATCAACGGCCTTAACCATTTGGGCACGGACGCCCCCTTGCTATCGGTAAAATTGAGTAGTAAAACATTAAAAAAAATGCACTACAACATAGCTTAAGGTCAGAATGACAAATTATTCTATTGTTTCAGTCGTTCTAGCATTCTAAACTAAATTCTAATATAATAATTGTCATTCCCTGTTTAATTTGTGAAACGATTTTTAACATTCAAGGAGAAAGATCGTAAATAAGTATTATTAGTGTTATTTTCTCACAAATTCTTGATAAAATATCATTGGTTCTATTAAAGACAAACGTGAGTTATATCACGTGCAGATTTATTTTGAATTATTCATCAACTTTATTACAATGGGAAAATAACATTTGGGAGACAATAATTTTGATTCCACGATGATACATATTCATGACAAAGTGTTACTGGGGTATGGCATTTAAAATTTTTGTATTCATTTTTGTTCGAGTTTAGGTCCAATAAGAGTACTAAAGCATAATACAGTGTAGTAATTCATAAATTATAAAGCTATATTTAATTGTATTTAATTAGCTTTATTTAATTTTACCTCTAACGGTTTAAGTGAAATTAAAATTAAATTCAATAGATTTATTATAAAATTATTTGTTATACATGTACTTTCCCATAGTGTGGGACATTTATCTATGATATTAAAGCCGCATTCCTTAAGATCCATGTTCATTTTCTGGATTTTATTTTAAATGTTATAGAAAATTAAATATTGTCTAGGGAACAAAGAGAGTAATTTACACATTACAAACGGCACTTAAAAACTACGAAAATTACCAAAAATATATGTCAAAATATGCAAAATGGACCTTACTGCATTAGTCATTCAGTAGAAATATGGATAATATAAATACTGTTAAATCAGACATTAATTGTATATAACATGTAAATTATTACTTGAATTATGAATAGTTTTTCATTTAAAATTTTTTTTAGAACATTTCTCTTAATGTTGATTTTCTTGAAATATTTTGGCTAATCTGGAGACATGCAGCTTTAAAAGATAATATAATGTTTGGCAAATATTGGCCTTATACATTTGAATATTCAATGACCTTTTGTCGGTAATTACTGTATTACGAAGTAAATCATAAGGATTTTAATTAAAGTATGGAATGATGGTATACATGTATAACATTCATTTAACAAAAGTTGCATAGCACTTGCCTAACTAGCTACAGTGACAAGGTGTTAAGACTTGCGGTTAGAAATTAAAGGTTGTTTGTCCGAATGATGACGAAACATTGATTATATTTTCTTTTTTTTAAATCAAATTTTGTTAAACTTGACAAGTATTTTTGAAAATGCAATCATTGTACGACTTAACATATTGAGCTAATGGGGAAACAAATACATAATTATTTACAAGAGCTTTGAAATTTAAAAAATAAAAATAAGAAATAAATATATGCTTTTATTTAATTTTATCCATGAAATATGGTGCTATATCAGTCAAATATATTTCATATTTTTTAAAGATAAATATGAAATATAAATATGAAAGTGGGCGGAGTCAAAACACATATTTATTTTGAGGGACTTCTTTCGCCATTTTGTTTGAAAAATCTGAAAACTTTTTGTTGAATTTTGTTTTGAAAACTATCTAGAATGATAGAAAATGGTCTAACTAAGAAAATAAATCCGAACACTAATATCTTTAATTCAGTTATTAACGCTATACAGACGTTTAAAGAGTTGTTTACGTGACGTCACAATGTAGCGCCAAATATCGCGTACATAACAAGACGCACTAATATATTACTGCGCCCTGTATTATTTCAAGGGACTTCACTGTAGCTACCAACTGCAATTGTACAGCGCGCAGTAATTTATGCGTAAGCACGCGCTGTTTGGCGCTACATTGAGACGTCATGTAAACAACTCTTTAAACGTCTGTACAGCGTTAATTACTGAATTAAAGATATTGGGGTTCGGATTAATTTTCTTAGTTAGACCATTTTCTATCATGCTAGATAGTTTTCAAATCAATATTCAAGAAAAAGTTGTTTTGTATTTATCAGATTTTTCAAACAAAACGGCGAAAGAAGTCCCTTAAAATAAATATGAGTTTTGACTCCGCCCACTTTCATATTTATATTTCATATTTATTTAAAAAAAAAAAAGAAATATATTTGACTGATATAGCACCATATTTCCCGGCTCGTGAAAATATGTGGCATTTTATCATGTTTCGTGAAAATATATTCCATATTTCACTCAAACGAAAAAATATCCTCTTATTATTTCTTTATTAACTAATGTACGGAAGCGTATCAGGGCCTACAGTTGGTGAGATGTTTTGCGCTAAGTCAACTTATTTTTATTCGCAATGATAAGATGTTTTTGCATTTCTCTATAAAATTTACTGATAAAGATGAGAAGCTTTTAGGCATCGCAATGAATTTTTCTCGATATGCTTGAAGTTTTTGTCTCTTCGACAAAAATTCTATCGAAACATCTTGATTTCACGACTTTGCTTGAATATTTAGTAAGGCGCAAAGACGTTACTCGCATTGATAAAAAGCTCACGTAATTCAGCAAAGTTTTTTTGAAATGATTAAAAACTTCTACGTATTACGTATTAATTATTACGTCTTCGTGGAAGTTTTTACGTATTACGTATTAATCATAACGTCTCCATGGAATGTTTTAGGTCAAAACGAGAAGAAACAAGTTGACATGACGTGAAACTTTCAGATAAGTTGAGGCCCTGACAAGCTTCCGTACTAATGCTGCATATAATTCAAAGAAAACGATGGTAATAAAGTAAGAATAAACTAGAAATGTGTCCATAGGACACGGATGCCCCCACACGCCACTGTTCTGTCAATCTTATGACTCTAGGTCAAATATTTTTTGGACTACATGTGCCACAAGTTGAAAACTAAAAATCAACAAAGGGCCATAATTCTGTTAAATTTGGTCGCAGCAAAAATTCCTTCCTTTACTACCATCTACACATTAAGGTTGTTAATCCCTGGAAGTTTAAGCAAAATCTGCCATCCGGCTTAAGAGGAGTTGCATTCACAAAATTTCAACATAGTATATAATGAAAAAATCAAAAAAGGGCCATAATTCTGTTAAATTTTGTTGCAGCAAAAATTCCTTTCTTTATTACCATCTACACATTAAGGTTGTTCATTCCTGGAAGTTTAAGCAAAATCTGCTATTCGGTTTAAGAGGAGTTGCATTCACAAAATTTCTACATAGTATATAGTGAAAAAATCAACAAAGGGCCATAAATCTGTAAAATTTGGTCGCAGCAAAAATTCCTTCCTTTACTACCATCTACACCTGAAGGTTGTTCATCCCTGTAAGTTTAAGCAAAATCTGCCATCCGGTTTAAGAGGAGTTGCGTTCACAAAATTTCTACATAGTATATAGTGAAAAAATCAACAAAGGGCCATAATTCTGTTAAATTTGGTCGCAGCAAAAAATCCTTCCTTTACTACCATCTACACATAAAGGTTGTTCATCCCTGTAAGTTTAAGCAAATTCTGCCATCCGGTTTAAGAGGAGTTGCGTTCACAAAATTTCTACATAGTATCTTGTGAAAAAATGAACAAAGGGCCATAATTCTGTTAAATTTGGTCGCAGCAAAAATTCCTTCCTTTACTACCATCTACACATTAAGGTTGTTCATCCCTGTAAGTTTAAGCAAAATCTGCCATCCGGTTTAAGAGGAGTTGCGTTCACAAGATTTCGGGACGTACGGACGGACGGACTGACGGACGGACGGACTGACGCACTGACGGACTGACGGACGGACGGACAAGTGCAACGCTATATGCTCCCACATTGTGGGGGCATAAAAATAGCTTGTCGAGAATTCGAGCACACAATAAAAATGTACCAATCACTTGGTTATAGGGCAGTTAGTAAATACTAAAATATCAAGAACTAAACTGTCATTAAAATCGTAATAAATTTCGGAAACTAGCGAAAAAAAACCTTCCGGAAATTAGTCAGTCTCAGGTCAATCTTACCAAACAATACTTTAGATTAATAACAAACGACAGCCATTCAGTGGAGTTTATAATGAGGGGAAATAATTCGCGCAGTTCTCAAAAATTAAGTCAAGCTTCGTTTATATACCTTTATATACTGTACCCTCGTATAAGATTACGAGGGATGTTCGAAATGTATTGCTTATTTCTATCTGGAGACTTCCAATTTCAAGTTAGCTCAAAAGTGTTCATTTCATGCTATCGAAGTACTCCCCGTGGCTAGAAATGCAAAGTTTCAGCCGATGTATCCACTTCTTGAAGGCGTCGCGGTACACTGATTTGGGCACAGTAATAAGGTACTGATGAATGGCAGATCCAAGTGCTTGTCGGGACTTGTATATTCGGCCAGCAAGGAAGGATTTCAACTTTGGAAACAAAAAGAAATCACATGAGGCAAGGTCTGGAGAATACGGTTGGTGAGGCAAAACAGTTACTTTTTCTTTTTTTTAAAAACGCCAAAACTATTGCGGAGGCATGAGTGGGGGCATTGTCATGTAGAAGACGGATATGCTTAAA